GACACGACCCCTACGTACCAGCAAACGGCAAGCCTAGTTCCGGAGTGGTGACAGACTTGCCGGTACGGATAACAATACCTGGAATGAATTGTTTGATGTTCGTGATATCTTCCTCATTGATCATAATTCTTCCAAGATTTTATATGTCGAGGAACCTCTTAATTTATCTCATCGATAAATCATACATTCCCGGTTAACTCAAGAAAGTCAGAGTCAAATATTTGTGCATAGGTTGGCGTCACGCGTTTCCTCCTTTCGTAATATCTTGAAATGCGTCTCCTTGAGTTCAGATTCTGAACCGTGCGAAGTCATAATATCTTTATATTAGTATATGGCGTAAAAAAATTCTGGCTTAAGAAATAAAAAAATGTAAATAGATTACACGACGATCTCGGAGATTGCGGAATGCGAGAAATACGCACCGTGCATTAGTACAATTCTGACTTCCCAAGACATAAGTCTTTTTGATATACGCACTAAGGGAGATAGTTGGGTTGACCTTCCTCAAGTTTCGTTTGCGCTGGTTCTTATTGTGAAACGTGATGTGATTTATATAATGCATGAACCAATCAATTTTAAGATAATATTAGGTATGCGCGTGTTACAATATTATATACACGTGCCTTTAGTCTCAATTCATCTTTTGCATTTATGGCCATTTGCAAGACCTTGGGTTGCATTCGTGTTAACGGGTCAAATAAGTTGATCTACATACAGTATATTCATCTATACAAATTTAACGATGATTAATTAATGCACCTGTATATCAAATCAAATCTTTTGAAAAATGAAATGACTTTTACGCGTTAAAATGAAAAATCCACATTTTTATTCAGCTTAAAGGCCTTGTTTTTTGCCCTTCTATTGGTCGCCGGAGTCCATATAATGTCCAGGTCACGTATAAACATATGAAATTCATTAAATTTATATACTGGAAAGAGTCTGTTGCAACGAATCTATCCAAGGGGATTACAACTGTAATGAGTCTTAGTAGGCATTGTAATTATCTCTTCCAAATATCAGCTGCAGGAGTTCAACTAAATGACCTGGTCACATAGAGGTGTGGAGATGGAAGCAAATATTGAAGGTTTGGAAGTTTACTTTCCTGATTTGTGATTACTGTTCTTTTATTTCTCACGTGTTTTATTTGTGCAATTTTTTCTCACCAGACTCTTCATACATTATTCTATTTTAGATTTTGACCGTGTTTATAAATCCTGATGATTAGGAAATTGTTACAAAATATTCAATGACCTAGTCACAACCCCCGTTTTGATCAGCTATCTGAAAAATAGAAAACATTAATGATATTTCCCTACAATGCAAGTTGTGAAGAAATACTCCAAAATCGATTAAGACCTAAAGAATTATTGCAACTATTTAATAAGGGAAGTTGGGACTGAGTAATGTTTGGCCCTAATATACAACTGTATGCTGCCAAACACCCTGTGCAGCCCGAGGAGAGAGCTAAAGGGAAAAAATTGCATTTTCTATTAAGGAAGGGTATATTGAAAAGAACAAATACAAGGTTTTTTTAATTATTATGTTTGTATAGATCGGAAACGATGTTTGGATAGGAGGCGGTGCAATTATTTGTCCTGGAATGACTATAGGTGATGAGGTATGTTAATATCTCAATAATGACAGAATTTTGATATGGTGATATCAAGCTTATTTACCACCAATGAATTGATGTAGGTTCGTGGTAAATATATATAACAATTTACTTGATTTAACATTATTATTTTTTTTCAAAAGATAAAAAGTCAATTATTATATTTCGACTAAGGGTTTTTATGAACAATAGAAAATTAAGGCTCAATATCAATTTTTCAATTTTATAAGTTTAATCTAAAATACTTAATTGTTACCAAATTATTGCTAAAAAATATTTAAGAACCTTAGAATTATTTTATTATTTGTTATTTAAAAACTATTGCATAAAAATCAATCAAAAATATAGCTTAAAAGCTAGTAATTACAAATTTATTTTCTTTAAAATTTAAAAATTTTTAAAGTTTTTTTTTTTTATTGTATTAAAAATAAAATATAAAACTTCATAACTTTATAAATTAAATACAATAAATTTTAAAATTATTGTATAACAAATATAATATAATATTTTAATAAACAATTTTTTAAAAAAATTTATTGACTATTAGGATATTAATATTTTAAAAACAATTTTTTTTTGAAAAGTTTTTGTAATATGCTTTAATAACAAGTTTAAATTTTTGTTTTTAAAGTAATAACGATTTTTTATTTTGCATTTTATATATCAAATTAAAGTTCTTCCTTTATATGTTTTTATAATAAATTTTAATTATTTGTTTATTCTTCTTTTTTTTATAATTTCTTTACATCTATTATTCATTGACAATATTAAATTTTTTGTTTTATTTTGATAATTTTTTTTATTCTTTTATTATAAATTTTTTTAATTTTATTAATATTTAAATTTTCTTATTTTTATATTTCTTTTTATCATATTTTATATATTTTCTATAAAGATAAAACTCAAATTATTTAATAGTTATTTTCTAATTTTGATCAATTTACTTGTATATATAAAATTGTTTTGTTAAAAAATTTTTTTAATTTCATTTATATTTTTTTATAGTAGAATAATATTAAATATATGGTTTTTATAAAATATTTTCATATTATAATTATTACAAGTATATTAAACACCTTTTGTTATATATTGATTATAGCTAAATACTAGTCTAGTTTTAGATCTATTTTTATCTTCATTTACTTCTAGCAATCCCAGGTCAATTATTGGTTACATAATCCTAATCATATAACCATTGTTTTTATTTTTTCTCTTACAACTTTCTCATGTTTATTTTATATACATATTAGATTTTCACTAAGTGTGTATCTGTCATGTTTTGTTTAATAATGGCCAATAGATCATTGATTCACTAGATTATTGGTTATTGGTTATCTTTTCTTGCTACTTGTATTTGACAATCCAATTTTTCAAGTGAATAATCTTTAGATTCATGATATAATATCGATATATCATAACTTTCTCTATAGCATATATTGTCCTGATATTGTAAGTTACCAATCTTGTTATCTATGCTTTTATCTGTAGTAATAATATGGTCTGATGAGATAAGTAATGTATTGCTAGTAACCTTCAGATTTAAATCTCAATTATATTTCAGTCTGTTTTTATTTAATAATTTTCTAATATAGAATAAAAATATTGAACAATTATTTTATAGACATATACAGTAATACCCAAAATTATTTGGAATTTTTCTCAATATGTACAACTTAGTAAAAATTTATCTAAATCAAATACAAATTTAAATATAAATACATGAATACTATAAAATTACTTTTATTTATAACTAGTTTATAGATTATATTATTATTATTATTT